AGCTTGCATTTGAGGGACTCTAACCTACTTCCATCCACCTTTCGTCTGAAATGAAAATCTGTTTGTCTGATCATCTTGGGACACTGAAGCTGCCCCAGCACTACTTTTCCTCTGAGGGAAAAGGGATGAACCCCTGGTTTGCCAGGGCTGTAAGGTCTCCCCTGGTCCTTGCAGCATGTTTTTCTTGGATACACTGCAACTGCTCAGGGTCTTGCCATGGAAGTTAATTTTTCCGTCAGAGAGCAAGCAAGCTGGGGAATATGGGAAAACAGAGGCAAGGAGTGTTACATTTCTGTGCAGAGACTCAGCTGGCCACCAGCCAGCAAAGCCATCACTGCAGTTGTTTAGTCAAAAAAAAAAAAAGAGAAATGTAATATTTGATGACAATCTAATGTCAGAGTCCATGACATCACCTGCTTCCAGCTGCTGATTAATCATGTGAAAGAAATTAATTTGGACATGGAAGAGTGCGAATCTAACTACTGGGACAAATAACTGCATTCAGAAAAGAAGTAGGAGGGAAGAATTTATAAAGTGTTTGGTCAAATTAAATAATTTTTTTAGAACAGCCCCAACCCCCAATTCTCTCTGTCCCTGTCAGATTCATTACTAAATCCTCACAGCCTGATTGCACTCCTATATGATTCAGTCTTTTGGCTTCCACAGAATTACTACAGGTTTCCCCATGAGCAGAACTGGCCATCAGCTTGATGGAGAGGACGTGAGAAAATGGCGTGGAGGGAAAATAAAATCACTGACAATTTAGGAGTTTCAGTGAGGCTGAGCAGCGAAAGAGTCCCTGGCATGGGTCTCAAGAACTCTGGGGAGGCTTCCTAGGGCACTCGCCACTTCCAGTAACGTGGGCGTTTTGGCGCTCTCATTCTCCTTACCTAAACTTTCAGAAGTATTCCAGTGTTCCACAAAACCTGTGTATACTCATCACTTCCCATCCAAGTCGGTTTCCCTGGGAAAGGAAAGAGGGTGGGAATGTGACAGTGCAGGTACTTCAGGGCTTTCGAGTCAGGGGTTGGGAAGCGTAAGATGCCACTTTAAAAACTCTGCAGGTGAGATCACTGTTTAGACAGTAAATCTGATGGCTGGCATTTTGTTAGTTGTTAGAGTTCATGCCCTAGTCTCCAGTGGTCTCAAGTGTGCAAAGGAAACCCTGCTGCAGCAAAATGGAAACTCATTGTAGAAGACTAGAGTTTCACCTGTTATTCTGAAGTCCCTTCCAGCGTCTCTCCAGCAACTATAATGGGATGACATCCGGGGGAGAACTGGGCCCAGCTTGCTGAGCAGGACAGCTCTGATGAACTCCATTCTTTGGTTCATCACTGATGCACCACTTTCTTGATTGCTAAGGCGGCCTCCAACAGTCTTTCTTGGAGGTTTCAAGTCTGAGTATGCTCATGTGATGTTCCCTCCAAAAACAGGGCCCTGCCTAACTCGACAGCCTCATATAGGGTCTGTTCCTGCAAAGAATCCAAATTTCCATTTGTCTAACTTTAAAGTCTGTTCCACCAACTGTAATAAATCTCAGCCTGCTCCATTCTTCCTCCACATCTCTTTTTGAAACAATAAAAATGGTAGATGATTCCCTGATGACCGCTGTTGCTGATGACGCAAATGGCACCTCACTTACTGGATCCTGTAAGTCTTGTTCAGCCCCATCCATCACCTTCACAGGAAAGAAGAGATGTTAAGCGAACCGTCTCTTAAAATATTTCATTGTTTTAACATTTGTTCCTTTTAGGAAATGTCAGAAACGTAAAACAGAAGGAAACAAAGTGGTTGGGTTTTGGGGGGGGGGGTTTACGTAAAACACACTTGCAATCCAGTCCAAAAACGACTCAGGAGAGTTAAAGAAATTTGGTTGTGTAGCTAAGGAATGAAGTGAGTATCTCTGCCAACAAGTGATGATTGTTTCCAGGATACTGTCTCTCCTATCAGAAAGGGTCATTCCACGACATTTCTCTGGCAGCTTTTATTAACCTCCCTCTCTCTGAGCCAGAAAACAGAAAGATGTCAGACAGCTGAGCTCTTGCACCGTTCCCATTCTCCTATTCAGGACAAGGCTGTCCTCAGCCAGCGGGAGAGAACGTAAGGGAACTGGCAAACCTCAAACATTTTGTCAAAGGGAGACACACTTGTGAAGTTAATCCTTAGTGCTCTCTCTGGGTGCCCTCTTCCTGCTCCTCGTAAAACAGCCCTGAAGAAAAACAGTTTCAGCCTGTTCTCGGTGGAGAGAAGGCCATGACGGCTGCCAGTTTTTCCAGTGCCTTCAGCTGGGCGTGCAGGCTGTGTTCACAAGGGGTGAAGAGGCAACATCTCCGCCAGCCTCAAGAAGCCACAGTCTGAGGGCAAAGCAGCCCACCTGGCACTGGGGTCAGCAGAACCTCACCAACTCTCCTGGTTCTCCCTCCTCCGTGCTCTTTTTGCCCATGCAGGTGTCTCTCTGTCCCCCTCACCAAACAAGTCCTGCTCTCCTCAAACAGCAGAAGCATGTGGGCAGAGTGGCAGGAGCGTGGATGTGTGAAGGCCCAGCTGGAGGGAGGCCTGGGAGCTCCCCACCAGGGAGCAGCTGAGCCTCTTTGCCGTGCCCCTCTGCAGCACCGTCTTCTGCCAGCTCTGCCTGCCTCAGGCCACCCTGAAGTCCTACGTAAACCTGGTCCTGAATGCTGCTGTCAGGGGTCGTGGGAGAATCTGGTTCAGACAACGAGAGCTGCAGGTCTCTATAGGTGTATCCAGAAAAGAGGAGAGCAAAGGATGGAAAAGGATTGAAGAACGAGTGGGAAGTAAACACAGGGGTTCTGCTGAGGACCTGCAGGCCCCACACCTCTCCTCTTCTGCCCTCACTTTTGCATCTCATTAAGTTACTTAGGCAATCAGGTGAATTCCCCTGGGAAGAAGAGAGCAGCCAGCCGGAACTCTGTGGTATCCGTCCCCATCTGGCAGGAAGCAGGGAGCAAATACGTAACATTTAGGAACCCATTAGAGCTGCAGTCTAGCTCATCACCCCTCGTTCAGCAAGCTTGGAAATGGATAGTTAATGTCTCTTCTCTGGGCCAGATCTTCACCTTCCCCAGCTGTAATGGCTTTTTAGATATCTAATTTCAAGCAGCTGTTAGTACCTGCCAGACCATGAAATATCTTTCACCTTTTCCAAAGGAAAAGATGACTGGGGAGCCTCTTCTTGGAGCACAGAGAGTTGTGAAGAGTGGCAAACTTCATGGCGAGGTGAGGGACCGTCCCAGCTCTCGAAATCTGCCTTCTTAGTCAGGCACCTAAATGTGGGTTTAAATGCTTCAATTTAGTTACACAGAGGTGAAAACTCCAGCCGTAGGAACTTGCCCAGGGTTAGAGAGCACGTGGTAGTAGAGTGGGAAATGTCAATGATCTGAAACTCTGTAGTCTGCAGCGGTGGCTTAAAAATCTTTCTAGACACGTGCCCTCTCAGAGATAAATAATTGCTGATTCAGGAGCAACCTGGAAACACTTGAGGGAGGAGGAAGGGCAGCACAAGAGGGAGCCTTGTCCTGGGCATACTAGCCAGAGAAGGTGGGAGCGCAGCAAGGAAAGCTATGCTGCGTTGCTGAAATTGCTGCTCAAATCCAGAACTGGGGAGGCAGTTCAGAGAGCAGTTCATAGCTCCAAGAGTGGATGTCTCCAGAGCAAGGGCAGGGGGCAGCGGGGAGACAAAGGCTCTGACTAGTACTAGTTGGCGATGGAGAAGCTGCTCTTGGTACTATTAAAATGCACCCTTATTACGCCTGGGCACGCATGTATCTATGTATAGAAATTTGTGATAGGGCTGAAAATTTTCCTAGGTATGCTGTTCTTTCCATGAGGGCTTTACTTACCTCTAGTTGTTCAGAGAAAAAGCATGATCCAGTGTACGGATCTCAATCTGTCTGCGAAAGATGTTCTTGCTTGAAACAATTTTATGTGCAAGGACTGGTGTTTTCCAGTGACTGCTATAATACAGCTGCTTTTCAGAGTCAGGGTCTGTTGACCTTTGCAATTTGTTGCATGGCAATGAACGGTGCTACACACAGAAAATAGCACAGATATACACTGTTGTCTGGCAATATCATTTGGGAATATTTTCATAGCTCTATTGCTTTAGCTATTCAAAATTATGAAGAATCAACCTAGATCTGCCAGTTTATTAAACTGTGCTGCACTCATTCAAAGCTCAGCTTTTTTCCTTTCACAGACATAGGAAGAGACAAAGGTAAACATCTGTCCATCATAGAAATATTATGGTAAATCCTTAAAATATATTATTATACCACAGGCAAAAATAGATTCTTGGAGAGACCCAACATGCTTTACTTTAAATTAAATTCCCACAGCCCAGTATGAGCTTTAAAATTATTGATCATGTCCTCTTCAGTGCCCTCTCTCTCCCAGTTTTTCAAAACAGAGAGATCACTCACTGCAGAGCGGAAACTTGAACAGCATTTCTTGTGATTCCACATTCATCTCATCCCTAAAAGGTGCAGTGGAATCTCACGGCCCTGGAGGCTGAATATCCCCGTCGTATACTACCAAACCCAAAACAGTCTATGTGACACACTGCACACTTAAAATACAGCTTGTCTTTTTCCTGCCGCGATCATAGCGCTATCAAGCAAATGCAAAGCTGCCCAATTATGGTTATGTGGTCACAGTCTGGTGGAATAACTGTGACCCATGAATAAGAAAAACCTCTTCAGACAATGAAACAGTGTTTGAATTCTAATTGTTTTATCCCCTCAACCACAGACATAGGTACAACTTTTAGTAGCGTCAGGGTCCAATGGGGAAGGATTTGCCTTTATAATTTTATTTTTACTGAATCTCAGTGAAACTCAGCAATACATATTTCGTGTGCTCCTAGTGCCTCTAGTTCGGTCTATGCAAAAAAAAGGAAACATTAATGCTGAATCATGGGTTACTCCCCAAACACGCACATGTGTTTATATTCTTCTTATCAGCAAACAGCAACTGTGGGCCAACATGCCAACGTAAAGCCCTGCTGCAGCACAGGGGACCACAGCTGTGGCACACACCAACTGCAGAGCTGGGCTCTTCTCTGGCACCAGGAAAAAACAGGAAGGGTGGCACTGAAACTGCTGGGCATATCCAGACATAAAACCAGTGAGCCTTCACATCTTCATCCTGGGGAGTTGACTAGCTGAGGGAAAAATAAAGGTACCACTGGCATACACGCATTGCATCAAGAGGAAGTGTAACATCTTGTGCTTGTTCTAGGGTTCCTAAACTTTCTTGCCTATCGTGTGTGTATATAATTCCTTGTCAGAGTACTTTGCTATGCGTAACATTTTCCATACATGCATTTTAATCTCTTGAGCTCTTTAATCTCTAACAGTTCTCCAAAGTCCTGCTGCAAAACCTGGAGCCTGCGAGCCAAACTGATGTTCTTAGCCCAGCACTAATGCTCTGCATATGTGTGGTGTGCATGGATGTATAGGATGTATGCATCCCTTCCTCCAAGGACCCAAAGTATATATGAAACTTGAGTCAGGTCACAGCCACAAATAACCTAGGAGACACAGGACGTCTTAGCATGTACTGCCTGTTTCACAGGCGGGCGAAACAAGGCGGAGAGGCAATAAGCCACATTGCTAACACCCCACAGCGCAGCGGGGGCAGAGCCAGGAACAGACTGCCGAGATCTTTGGCTGCCTTTCTTGGCGGCGCCGAGCCATATGACTTGGTGCAGCACGGGGCGAGGTGCAGGCAGGAATGTGTGGAGGAGGGTCCCAGAGAACAAAACTGGTTCCTTTGTGCTCTAGGTGGACGCAGAGCTCAGGCAGACAGGGGTGCAGTACACAGACTGCCCTAAATTACATTGACTTGCTACAGGTGTCTCTGCAGAGCCCCGTGTTCTTGCTCCCTGAACAGGAGCTGGCACAAAAAATAATGACCAGTCTCTGCTTAATTCTGCCATTATATGTGTTCCTGTGGGATAGTGGGAGGGGAGCAAATGACAAGATAACCCAGCTCAGGTCTCTGAGAGCTGGGAAAACCAACGTCTTTCTGACTTGTTTTACCACTGAAGAGATGCAAAATGGCTGGTGCAAGATAAACATCCAGAGCCCTTTTCTCAGGCCTCCGTTTCCCCGGTCAGCCCAGCCGGACCAGAAGTGTGCCATGCCTGTGACAGCCACCTGCCTGAATGCAGACAATTCTCAGCACATAATTCAGTGTTGTGTTTCCTCTTGAGTCTTCTGTGGTTCTTTTTCTTGTAAAATATTAGCCAGATTTATTCTCTGTCACACTGGCATAAACATAAAGTAAGTCTGCTGACTATAAAATTACTCTGTGTTTATCCATTTATTTCTGTATTTTATATGATTGTAAGATTTAACTCACTGGTGAGGAAATGCCGTAAAATACTGACTTCCACTGCAAGGATGCTGACGGTCCTTCTGATGCTGAACTGGATGAACAGTGACAGTTTGGACAATTCATCTTTGAAACACAGTGAAGGCTGTCTTGTCCAACCAGTCCAAAACATGACAGAGAATAATAATTTAAAAAATGAATCTTATAATAAAGGAAGAATGGAAGGAGGAGGGTACTTTAGGATCGTAGTTGTTTTATGATTAAATTGTTAGGATTTTTTTCTTTTGTTTTTACAATTGGATTGATACTAAGTAGATTGTGGTCCATTCTGTCCTGTTCTAGCTTTATAATGCTGCCCACATCATACTAATTGAGTGCCTACAAGGATTGAAGTGAACAGGATGACCAATATCTATCAATCATGCAACTGTTCTCCCCTCTCCATGGAAGGGACTGCACTGTACATGCAGTACAAGACCTTGTTTCGGTAAGGTGTTTTGGGGTTTTTTTTTGCTCGTTATTGTGGTTTGGATTGGGGAAGGGGTTCTTCTTCAAATCAGTACATGTCTCTCTGGGTTTTCCCTAAGGAAAGCCGGTCAGGGGAAGGAATATACGATGCACTTAGAGCGGAAAGTGCTGAGACTTGCAACACATCTCAGTCTTGGGGAATCTATTGCCAAGCCTCAGGCCCCCACAATGATGTGAGCATCATTGTGCCAGAGGCCAGGGTCACCGTCTTCATCTTCATGCTCTGGCAACTTTTTAGATACTATCCCAGGGCTCAACATGGCAAGCCTTGAGATGTGGACCAGGACCTCAACTCCAGAGGAAGAAGCACAGAACAGTTCTACCTGTGCTTGAGAGGGTCACCAGCACCATACTCATCTGCCAGGGCTCCCCTAGCCCTGGAAGGCTGTGCCCGGGAGCAGGCTTTAGCAACAGTCAAAGCAAAATGTTAGCTAGGGTCACGGCAGAGGCTGAAAGGAATAAAACAGCCTTGGCCGTACTGTCCGCTTTTCCTATCCAGCATTCGCTTCCTGCGCAGCTGATCTCCCCTCCTGCCCTCTCATCCGGCTCCAGTGGGGCGCAGGCGCTCCTGCTGCAAGAGCCACCGCTCCCACCGGCAGCCAAACCTCCTCTTCCCCCCACACATGCACACACGGCAGGGCCCGTCCTGCTGCCCCTACAAACAGCCACCACCCCCCAGCACTCGGCAGCCCCGGACCCAGGGGTGCAGCAGCCGTAGCCCAGCTGAGCCACACACGCTGCTCATGGGGCACAGCGAGCACATTTGGGACAACTATTTTTAAATAAGACAATAATTAACATGTCTCACTTCAAGTACACAGAGGTGCTGGGAGGCCATTAACTTTGACAGCTGTGATATTTCTTTCCCCAAATGCTTATAGCCAGTGTGTCAGATGTTACACAGTTAGGACAGCTCCATGCCCTTCTGTAAGTGTCTGTCCTTGCTTTATTTCAGGACAAAATACACCCTGCAGTGGATATATGCCCTTCCTAAGTGTAAGATCCTGTTCATTTTAATGGCCCCGCTAATACGGACAAGTTGCCCATACAAAAGTTGTCCGGATCAACTGTTTGCCCTAACCCAGCCTGTTTCAGTATCCTCAAGCACTGCAATGATTTTATTTGGAAACAGGAAGTGTAAATTCAAATTAAGAACATGGCTTAAGCAGAAGCAAGGTCTTTTAAGACCCAACACTGGGCTTTTACTTGAAGAATGTACACTGAGATTGCAAGTGAGTCGGAGTGGGACCATCTTTTTGTTCTCTTTGTACAGCACCTAACGCAACGCAGGGGGCTCCTCGGCAGCATCAAGCAACTACGGCAGTGCTGGTGCCTGGAGATGTCCGTCTGTCTACGAAAGAAACTCGTCTCCCTTCGTGCCTCCATCCTTGTTCCTGGATTGGACTAGCAACCTGTTTCAGTTTGTGCTTTCCATTTAGGCTAACCTCAGACGCTTGGTTTCCAGTTGATTGGAAACAAGTGTGCTGGAAGCTGTCTGCTCTTTCTTCACTATACAATGTGGACTGCTGCCTGGCTCCAATCTGGAAACAATTATTTCCCTCCTGTACCTACCCATTCTGAAAAGGGATTTACCCCTAGACTTTTTTTCCTCTTTGCACTTTTATTAGCCGCTTCCTTCACAAATAAAAGCTTGTCGTTGTACATAATGCCCACAGAACAGCTCTAGCTCTGGACGTCACATGTTTCTGTTACATGACAAAAATGCTGCCATGTTTTAAGGCCAGGTCTCCCTTAGGGAGTTTTGTATCAGTAAACGTGCCGTAGTGAATTCGCCACTCCTTTGTCCTGTTCCGATAGGATGACTATCTGATGGTGCTTGAATTTGTGTGACTTTAAGAAAGGGCTTTAAGCACTCGTTGTGGTTACGCTGGTGTAAATACTCTTAAACAACCCCAAAGAACAGTCAAAACAAGCATGGATATGCAGTAGTGCTTGCAAGTACATGCAGATGTACTATTACGCTATTAGCACAGCGTAGTGCAGCTCTTTTAAAAAAAAGAAGATACCTGTTTATCTGCATGTATTCCTGGATTTATTATTTCTTTCAAAAGTTCCTACTTTTTGATGTGTGTACGCAGACATGAAGGCATGGGAGCAACAGATGACCAGAATCTGCAGATATTTGCAGACGGGGGGAAGCTTATGCCCATGAATAGTGCCATTATGCTCAGCGGGGTCACTTTTCTGAGAAAGACTGATCACATACTTTATTTCATGAAAGACCAGCTCCTGACCGAGCACAGACACTAAGGAAACAGATTGCAGTGGAAAGAGTCTAAAAATCTCTTTTCCTGCGCTGAATTCAAAATAGCATTTCTCTTACTGGAAAAACAAACATAAGCTCATTTTGGGTGTCTCTGTCTGTCTGCCTGTGGGATTGGCAATCCACACTTTCTGCAAATTCGGAGACCTCTCTGCCCCTGTTTACGCTCTAGAGGTTATGCCTTAATTACAAAAAGCTGATCTGCCGTGACATCAATTTCCCTCTCTAGGGGAAATTCCTAGCTGTGAAATCCTAGCAGAGACAAATTGCCGTTCTTTTCTTTTTTTTCTTTTTTTTTTTCCCTTGGCCAGTCCAGACCATCCTCAAAACTGCCATCTGGGTTTGACCTTGACTGCTACTTTGAGAGCGAATCGCAGAGCCTGCTCTCCTGAAGTGCTGACATACAGACAACTATTTCCAATGAGTTATCTTGATACAGAAATCATGCTGTACCACAGCCAAGAGCCTGCTCCCTCTGCCAAGCGGGACCGGTGCCTGGGGGCCGCGGGAGCCGAGAAAGCGCTGTCTGTGGCCTACCGCGGATCAGAGAGGACGGACGTTGTCCTGGACAGGTTAGCTGCAGCCCTGCCTAACCCCGGGGGCCGCGGCGGGTGGACGTGCCCGCCGCAGCTCACAGCCCTCGCGTTTGGCGTCCGGGGGCCGCCTCCCCACGCAGGACGCGTTCACCCAAAGCCACGCAGCCCGGCAGGGAGGGCTTCGCACCACCTTTGGTCCGGTGTGGACGACCAACGTGCTGAAAAGGACCGAGCCGCCGTGCCTGGGGGAGAGGGGATGCGGCGCGAAACGGCTGGGCTAGTCCGTGCCTTTGAGCCGGCTGCACGGGGACGCGGGTGGCCTTTAGCTCCGCGTTCCTAGGGGTGCAGGCACCACCCTTTGCCTTGACCGCTGTACCCAGGGGAGGAACACGAAGGGCAGCGGGCGTGGGGAGGCTGGGATGCGGGCGTCCCTCCGCCCCGGGCGCCCGCGGGCTTTGCCGGCGGTGCCGCGGCGGGGCGCGGGACCCGCATCGCAC